CACTGGATTTGGGATGGTAGTTAGACAGTCACTGTATCATCACCAAAGAGCAGATCTCACTGCCTCCAACTGGTTCACATTTTCTGTGAGAAAAGCTATCAACTTTCCATGTTCTAGAATCCAGCTTTTGTTTTGCCAGTGTGTTTTTTAAGCCTGAAATAAGAGGCAAATTCTAATATATATGGGCATCAGCCTAAAACTGCTGGTCTTAACCAAAAAAACTTTCTTTTTTCAGATTTACTTCATTTATCATTTATTCATTTGGTAAATGGAATAAGCATCTTCTTTGTACCAGGTGTTAGGAATCCAAACATATATATGGCCTGGTGCCTGGCCCAGGGTGTCTAACAGTGAGACTTGTGTATAAACATGCAATTACAATTCATCATCTAGACCAAAAAGATAAATAAACCAGGGGTAGCCAGGGAGAATTGAGAATAGCTAGTGGAAGAGACAGTACTTGAGTTGGTTTTGAAAAGAGAAGGTGGAGAAGAGAGGGGAGGGTGACTAGGTAGAGGCAGGGACGGTTGGAGAACTATTGGTTAAGATTGGATAATAATGCTGTTAAGGTAGATTGGAGCCAGGAAGGTACGCATGCTTGAAGAAGGCAATCTCTTCTGCTATGTACTACATTAATGACTTTTTGGTTTTGTTCCATAAATGGCTTACATCTAAAATCTGAGTTACTTGAGAGGCAGAGATAGGAGGATCATACATGGTTCTAGGCAGCCCAGGCAAAAATGTTAGTGAAACCCTACCTCAAAGAACAAGCCAGGCGTGCTGATACATGCCCATAATGCCAGCTACATGAGAGACATAAGTAGGTGGATCACTGTCCAAGACTGGTCCAGGCAAAAAGTGCAAGACTCTATGTAAAATTTAAAAACAGAAAAAAAAAAACTAAAAGCAAAAAGGAGTAGGGGCATGGCTCAAGTAGTAGAGCACCTGCTTACTAAATGTGAGGTTCTAAGTTCAAACCCTAGTAATGCCAATAAGTAATAATAATAAAATAGGAACTCTAATTCGTAGGTGTGTAGATAAGCAGCAAGTGCTGAAGCTTCGAAATCTACATTTGTTTGTGTGTGGTACTGGGGCTTAAACTCAGGGTCTACACCTTGAGCCACTCTACCAGCTCTTTTTTATGATAGGTTTTTTCGAGATGGTCTCCTGAACTATCTGCCTAGGTTGGCTATGAACCTAAATCCTCCTGAGTAGGTAGGATTACAGGTGTGGAATCTACATTTTCATGGTCCTATTTATCACCTCCACACATGCCATTCTGTACCCTGTGTCTTTCATGAAAATACTTCACCCTTGGATGACCTGGCTAGATGAAGAACCAGCATAGTTCAGTGAATGCTGGGAAAATGGCCAAATATGGTAAGTTACCTCCAATGTAAAGAATGGCAGCCTACCCCATGTACTAAAAACACGTAACAGAAAACTCTCTTCTTGTATTGTCAGTCCATCGTTTGATCCATGGAAGAATCAACATTCAAACACCTTCCCACCCAGGTGCCACTTCTCTGACCCACATGCCTTCCCAGCACTCCCAGGGCCAGAGGGTTGAGCAGGAGCTCTGAGGCCCCAGGGGATGGAGGGATATTCAGTTCCTTCTTGCTTCCTCTTGCCCCAGACTCCAGCCCATCCAGAATCTTCCTCCATGGGACAGGGGGCAGGTGTGCATCACTAGAAAAGGATGGACATGCACTGCTCCTAGATGTAATTTTTCACCAAATTAAATCTGGAGGAAATGGAAGACCTTAGTAGTGAGCAACAAAGCTTCAGAGCATTAGAATGTCTGAATGAATGTTGTGGTGTGTGGCAGCAGGCCCCTGAGGGGAGCACTGCCCCAGATCTGTGACAGCCTGCTCGGTCACCACCTGGCGCCTCTCTCCCTCTTGGGCAGTTTGCACAGGTGACAGCTTCCTGTTCCAAGTGCTACAGAGCTGACCTCCATGAGTGACTCAATGACAGCAAGCTGGAGATGTCGATAAAACCCATTATAAGTGATAGCACCCTTTCACGCAGGCATGAGGTTTAGAGAATTAATTCCTCCCACCCCTCCCAGGCAACCTTGGTGTAATTAAAGGGAGGATTGACATTCTCCCTTACTTCCTATTTCCTGCCTGTGTTTATCAGGAATCTAGGTCATGACAGCTCCAATCATTCATGTCCTAAGCAGTATATGCCATAGAAGGGCAAAACCCAAAATCAGCACACTTTCTCCCTTCTTTGTCCCATTGTAGAAAAGAAAGTGTCACAGTACTAACCATGCTGACACTCTGGTCTCTACAGACTTCAGCACCTAATCAAGAGCACATATCTGGGCAGTGGTGGCATTCACACCAGCTGCTGTCACAAGATAATGGCTGGCCATGTTATTTCCCTGAGCAAAATGATAGATGTCACCCAGAATCAAGCAGAAAAGACCGGAAAGAATTTCACCTTGTCCTGTTTCCCTCCAAAGGGTGTCTCAGTCTGCTGAAATATCCCAACCTGCTAGCAAAGTCATGCTATCCTATCTCTCCAGCTTCTCAAGTATGACTCAGAGTTTACTAATGAATGACTCTCAGATCAGTAAAGAAATCATCATTCATACAAACTTCTGATCTGAGAACATTTTTCATTAATTTTGTTGAAGAAATGTTTTGAGAAGAAGTAATGACCTGTGGTCCCAGTACCTTATCGTAATTTTCACTTCACTGGCGCACTGCCTGTCTGTCCATTTATAAATATTGTCACAATTGCACTCAGTAGCTGCATTTCTTCTGCTCCTTTGTCACTTAACATCAGGTCTTCATAATTTTCTTACTGAATGGCTGGCCACATATATTTCTCTTATTTGCTAATTTGTGATTTCCTTTATCCCCAAAGGATGGAGAAATATTTACTTTCTCATAGTTTTCTTAAAGATAATAATACATAGCTTTTGTTATTTTAGGATATTTTTAGGAATAATGAATGGCAGGGGTAGATCCTTGCTTCTTGTTATGCATTGCTTTATTGATCTTTAAAAAAAGATTGTCAATTTATAGCACCACTAGTAGGACCATGGCCATTTTTAATTATAAATTAAGAGATTGAAAGTGATGTGGTATGGAAACAGGTGCCAAACTTAATGGGAAATTGTGTTTGTGCACTGATGAGTTCCTTTATTCTGTATGATCTTCATCAACTGGAGATCATCATGTTAGGTGAAATAAGCTAGGTTCAGAAGGACAAAGGTTGCATGTTTTCTCTCATATGTGGAATCTAGACCTAAAAAAAATACATACACACACATGCATGCACACATGCACACACACATATAACATGAATGTACTTCTGGGACTGTTTGAGGGAACATGGAGGGGGGAGGGAGAGGGGAGAATAATTTCAAAATACATTGTGTCCATGTATGCAGATGGCATAATAAAACCCATTGAAGGCTGTTGAAAAATAAGAGGAGAAAGGGAAAGAAAGAGCAATAGAGGGAGTTAATCTGATCAAATTCCAGTACACACGTGTGTGAAATACAGTGAACCTTTGTACAATTAAGATTCACTAATTTTACTAAAAGAAATAATAAGAAGAATCCTTTTTGCAGAAGAGCTCCTGTTGCATGAGTCAGCACTCTTTCTTCCAAGGGCTTCTATTTCTGGCAGAGTGAGGAGACCATCTGAATGCCAGGTAGTAGCCTCAGAAGGGGCTGCTCTCTCTTAATGAGGGGCGGCTGGATGTGCGCCAGGCCAAGAACTCCACAAGAACCAGCAACAGCTTAAAAGTGGGCTGTGTGGGGAGAGGATCCAGCCAACACAGGGTTTTCAGAGTTCACTTTGGAAAGCTTCTCTAATTCATCTGAAATCTGGAGGCATTGACTTCATCTTTTTGCCTTCCACCTTCTTTCTGGGGCATTTGTGCTGTGAGTCACTCACCAAAGACAATCCTCTGACAGAAGTAAGGGAGACAATGATGTGGAGAGGTCCAGATCCCCAAGAAAGAATGCTTCTGGGAAGTAGTTCAGTTCCCAGATCACAGCAAGGGAGAGGGGTGCTCATCAGTGGTACCTAATAAAGGCACAGAGAAGGAAGGTGCACTAGAACATTGTAGAGTGCTGGTACCGATACACTTGACCTTCCCCTCCAGATTAGTACTGGAAACTTTCATTTGCCCCATGCTTATGTGACTTCTCAGACCAATGGAGTGGTCATGGTACCTGATACTCATACAGCACATACAATTCAAGAAGTGTTTTTAACATTCATATTAGACCTTGACACTGAGTGCCTTGGCCAAAGTCATGTAGCTGCAATGAAATGAAAGTGTCACTTAGCCCTTGGTACCATGGGCTGGCCCTCAGTCTATACTCTGTGGACCATCAGCTATGAAGGAGTCTGGGTCTTCTGTCACTTGAGCCCAGGCTTCTCCTTTATATCCTGCAACCTCTAGTGAATAAAGTCTGAGCTCTGTGCATTTTTGCTCTGTAGTAGTGCACAAATCAGAGGAGACGCATCAAGATACAGGTTCACTCAGAAGCCTCATTGCCTCAGAGATACCATCTACCTTTAGGGAAGTTCGTACCTGTATGGACCTCTGTTGAGAGTGATAGAAGGTAAAGCAACCCTAAACACTGTGAATTGGGAGTGAGTTTACTGTTTTGAATGTCTCCCTAGAAGGGAAACACTGAAGAAAGGAAGGAGAATAGCACAGCTTTAAGGCCCTATGGCTTGACCTCTCTAAGCCCCACCCGGGAAAGGGCAATGATAATTCTCGCTCCTTGGGCTGGCATGAGAACTGAGATGTTTCATGCAGATCTGCCTTGAACAGAAAGACAGACTCATCCTGTGAACCTTGAAAAGCTTACGCCTTCCTCCACCAGCCTTGCTGCTGCTACTTTTGTCTGGACAGGCAGCAGGCCCTACTCTGTGTTCAAGCTGCAACTATTTATAACAGTGAGAGATGTGCAGTTGCAATGTGCCAATTTTCTTTAATGTGGCATTTTCTCTCCTCTCTTGTAGGAGGTGCTTGAACTTGCTTTCTCCATCTTGTATGACTCAAACTGCCAATTGAACTTCATTGCTCCTGACAAGCATGAGGTAAGAGTCTCGGTGGGGTTAGCTTAGGAGAAAATATTACATTGTCTCTAGAAAAATCAACACAAGGAAAAATATTAGAAAGGAAGAAATTTCATTAAAAAAAAAAAGCCTGCCTGAGGAAAATCATGAACAAAAGGGCTTCTCGTTGTCTTAGAATAGGATAGAAACCTCTTGAAAAATGGCCAGTTTCATAGTTCCAACTTCCTAGTAACTCAATTGACAGTTTATGTGTCCTGGTCAGATTTCCATTACTGCGACAAAATACCGTAGACAGTCAATTTAGATGGAAATCAATTGAGATGATTTCAGAGGTTTCAGTTGTAGTTACTTGGCCCCATTGCCTTTGGACCTGTGATGAGGCAGAACATCATGGTGGGAATATGTGAAGAAGGAAGCTGCTCACCTCGTGGCACTGGAAAGCAAAGAGAGAGGAAGGGGCCATCATTCCAGTATCCACTCCAAGGGCACACCCCCAGTGATCTCACTTCCTTTTACCTCTTAAAAATTTCACCACCTCCCTCCCAATAGCACCACAGATTGAAATGCACACTGTTAACACCAGAGCCTTTAGGGAGTATTCAAAGTCCAAACTACAACTTCCTACTAGTAAAGAAAATGGATGCACAGATACCTCAAATTCAGCAAAAACATCATTGTTAGCCCAAAGGAAGAAGCCTCCTGCCCTGCCTAGAGCTCTGTTTTTTGGTTGAATATTTACTTTGGGGTCTGGATTTTCCCAAGATAAACTAGTCTCTAGCCTTTAAAACATCTGATGAAGTAAGGTTCTCTACCATGGTTCTTTATGCTATTTTAAGAGGTTTAGGGCTGTCTCTGCTGTTGGAATTTTATTTCCAAGATGCTTTTATCCCTTTTTGACATCTTGTTATATGTATAATTTGTTTCTCTTCTTGAAACACGCTGTCAGCTATATTTAAGATATTTAGCATAAATCTAGGAAAATGCATTTGTAAGATAAAGTAGCAGTTATGGTTGATTTAACTTTTTCTCTTGTAAACTAGAACCCAATATCATGCTTAAAACTTTTATTTTTAGATGATAATATTGAAATTTTTGTTTTGCATGTAGCTGCACAAACAGATTTTTGAAAGGAAGGGAACATTTTGATAGAATCTGACTTTTGTTCCCCATTTCCCTAGGAGATTCAGCTCATTTAGAAGGTATTTAGTATCTGGTTTTCACTGGTTTGAAGCTTTTGAATAAAACTGCACATCCCAAAGAAAGAGAAGAGATTAGACACAAATCCTGCATTTAGAATGGTGCTTAAATATAATTCTGTGTCAGTTGACATTTCGTTTGCAGAAGGGTAAGACTTTGTCTTCATCTTTCTGAAAATAGATTCTGTGTCCTACTATTTCTGTTTTTAAGTGAATTTATGGTCATGCACAGGACGACATATTATATAGGACAGTATAGAACACTACTTAAAAGAATAGAACTTTGAATATTACTAAATCAATGCCAGGCTATTGTCCCCAGTGTGTGTACATTAATTGAAGATAAGGACAAATGCTCTGGGACTGCCAGATTTATATTCATATCTGCCACTTATAGATGCAGTGAGGAGAAAAATTCCATACACTTAGGAACACTTAAAATTTCTTCAAAACAGTGCATATCTATTATCTCATTTTCTTTTCATAATCACTCCATAAAATACTAAGTTCTATTGTAGATATCCTCATTAGTCAAAGGAAGGGAGAAAGGCCTCCCAAACTGAATAATTTAACAACGGAAATGCCATATGTAGATAGATAGATAGATAGATAGATAGATAGATAGATAGATAGATACATGCATGCATACATAAATACATACATGCAGAGATCCTCACCCAATCCTTGTACAACTCTAAAAGAAGCAAAACTATATCATCCTCACTTTGTAAACAAGGAAAATGAGGCACAGGAATGTTAAGAGACTTCCCAAGGTCACTCAAGAAGAAAATACCAGAGCTGGGATTTGAACCCTGGCAGTCTTGCTCCAAAAACCCTTTTCCATTAGCCATCACCCAGTGGAGGGTTTTCTTGCCAGTCCAACCACTCAACTTCAAACACTAATCAACTTTGAGTCAGTCTGACTTCATCTACGCTCCCATCCAGTCATATATACACACCCATATTATTTTGAAGCAAATTCAGATGTCATTTTATAAAAAATTCCTGTACGTATCTCAATACCAGAGTTCATTTTGAAATATAACTGCAATATTATTATCACACCTAAATTAGTCATGTAGTGGTCCTAATCCACAGTTTTCAGATTTCTCTAATTGTGTGTTTTTACTTTTATACTTTGTTCAAATAAGAATTGAAATGATGTGTATGCATTGTAACTGGTTGGCATGCTTTTTAGGTTTCTCTGAGTATGTAGGTTCCTCTCTTTCTCTCACAACCATGTGCATGTGTTTTCCCCCTTGCAAGTCATTTTACTGAAGAAACCAGGTAATTACTCCTGTAACACTGTGGATAGTCTGGATTGTGATAACCAGCAGCAGTGGTGTTTTCTACTTTGTCTTCTTGCCTTTCTTTTTAAAATGTTTGATCATTGCCTAGATCCTTGAACCCTCTAGAGACTGCAAAAGGTTGAAACCTCAATTACATCATTCCATCTTCATTTATTAGTAGGATGTATAAAATCAAACTCGCCTCATCAACGTCTTGGTTACCCTAAAGTTTTACAAAATATATGATAGGCATTGCCAGTTTTCAAAATAATAAACACTTCTTCAAGAAGAGCAATGAGATGTGTTTAGGTGGCTTGAGTATCACTGTGAAGTTGTGGATTTGAAAATATTTCTGACTCAAGATGCTTCAGTTATTGTGATTTAGTAGTGTCCAAATTATCCTGTCTGGGGCAAGTAGGTCCACCATCAAACCATCTTTCTGGTATGACAAGATACTGTATGTTCATTTTGTATGTTTCCTGCCCTTTCTGTATGGATCCTGGCTATTTTTAATTGGAAATAGTAGTGAACAACCAGAATCTGGGCATAAGATGTGTTTATTACCACTTGGTCATTATTTTTAGGCCTTTAGGGGGACAGAGCTAGAAGTTATAATTTTTTAAGATAAAATATGTCATGAGCTGATAATTCCAACTCAAATTCAGTAGTACAGGGTTTTTTACTGATTTGTCAATACAGTTTTTAATGAAATTTTCTGTGCTTGCTGCTTCTCAGAAGAAATACTCCTGTGGGATAATTAATCTGTACCAGGAAACTGGCCGGGCCTGAAAAGGCTGCACACACAAAGCAGTACCCCTAGGATTTATGAGTTACCATGAAACAGTGTCAGAGTTGTAAGGGGCCACCCAGAGCACAGCATTTGGTGGTGCCCATACTTGGGCAGAATTATCTGAGAAGCTAAAAGCTTCCTCATCTCACAGGGACAAAATAAGGATCTCCAGGGTGGGAACTAGGTGTCTATTTCTAACAAGGTTATTTGTGAGGAAACAGATGGTGATACATGTTCAGAATCTGACTGAGGTATTCCTGAGGATACTGATGCTTCCAGAAATCCCTTAGCACCAAACCTATATTTAGATGGGTTAAATGCTTTGGGCAAAAGCCAAGGTAAAACCAAAGCCTAAAGTTCATTGTTGCACTCCTCAGACGCAGATCTCATGATACACCCATGATGCACCTCTTCTGCTTAAAAAGATGATTGACATGCATCATGGAAGATTGCCATCACATTAAAGTGACTGAAGACTTAGGTAATGCTTGCAGTCTTTTATGATTCTGTTGAGATCTGCTTGTCATATTCTGGAGCACAGCCCAGGTGGCTACAATGCAACACTTAGGCTAAGTAGGATCTGAAATTACACCTTGACTCAAAGAAGCAGAAAAAGCCTGGAATCTGCAGCCTTGTTGCTACAAGGAAAACAAGTCAGAGCACTTGCCATTACAGAATGTTGTTTAGGATCAGGGACAACAGAGAAGCAAGCAGAGCATCAGATGCTGGGAGCAAAGGTGGCTCCCTGACGAAAGCATCAGGTATCACAGCTCTCTTTCCAGGTCAAGGCAGGACCCTAGTCTCTAGGAGGAAGCTGACAAGAACAAGGCACATCCTCAGATAAGTGAAGCAGAGCTCTTTTCCCTCAGGAATTCATAGTCTAGTGGAGAGGCAAAAGGCTATAATAAATTTTATGAGAAAAGAACCAAACCCTTAGTTGTGAATTCTGGAGATTTTTCCAAAGTAGATGATGTATCCAAGAATCAGGCACCAGAGAAACCCTGGGCACCGGAGACACGGCAGATGAGGTCCCCAGAGAGGCAGCCAAACCACCTCCTATCAAGATCACCCAATAGTGTTAGCCAATTTGGCCCTCAGACTTTGGGCAGCAAAGGTTATTTCCTAGCACTTTTGCTGAGAAACACAAAGGTAATACTACTTCAAGGTGGGGTGGAGCTGTCATTGTGCACATTAGCGATCAAAGAAGACTGGCATATATTAGCTACTAGACCATGAACTATGGTGTCAGAAAGAAGCAAGCTTGGCCTGCTGCCTGAGTCCAGGAGTGTTGGGATATATCCCATGGATACCTTAAAGCCAGGGACTCACCTGGGGGCTGTTTGCAATATTATTCTGCACAGCACAGAAAACCCATATCCTCCGTGTTTCGTGGGGAGACATTTTTGCATGTGAGAGCAAAGTTCTAGAGTCAGGTTGCCTGAGTTCAAATCCCAGTCACTACCACATTACTTCTCTGTGCCTTAATTCTCTTACTTGTCAAACAGAGATGATAACAGAAGTGCCAGACTTATAATATGAAATGACAACACAAACAGAGCACTTCACACAAAACTTGGCACATGTTGAGCACTCATTAAGCAATAGCTGTTTTTACTACTCCCGTAATTGCCATCAGTAATGATCTCTGTTGCCTCTCTTCCTGCCAGTACTGCATCTGGACAGACGGGCTGAATGCACTGCTTGGGAAAGACATGATGAGCGAACTCACGCGGAATGACCTGGACACACTGCTCAGCATGGAGATCAAGCTCCGCCTGCTAGACCTGGAAAACATCCAGATCCCCGACGCACCTCCCCCGATCCCTAAGGAGCCTAGCAACTACGACTTTGTCTATGACTGTAACTGAAGTGGCAAGGCCCAGAAACACCCCTCCAAAACTGGAAAATCTAGCTAACAGGAGAGAAGGGAACATTCCCGCGCCTTGGAACCATCTTTTGGTGGAGGGAAAATTGCAGATCAACCCTACCTTTGGCCTTACCTGTAGTCCCAGCTTTGTTCAACCCCTGGTATCTTACCCACCTCCCTAAATCTGCCAGATTCACTGCTTTGGAATACTGGTTCACTGCAGTTCAGTGGTGGGTACAAGCAAAACCACCTCTAATAAGAGAGCCAAAGGGCCCTTCCATCCTATCCTCTACCAGGCATGTCCCTCCTTCATGGAGCAGGAAAGCCAGCACCCCCAACCTACCCCAAAACTTGCCCACCAAACCAAGATGAATGCCCAAGGCCTGTGTCTGGAAGACACAGCTACCTAAAGAGAAGACCAAACGCCACATCCTTCTTTCCCTTCTCTCTAGGCTCAGCTCACACCACCAAGTTCCATTTGAGTTGAGAACCACTTTCAGATCTCTTCCCTCTCCCTTCCCCGTGCCCTGATTCTCTCCGGTCCCAAGAGCAGCAGCAGCAGCCTCATCATAGTCCTCGCCAGCATCAGGTTCCCCCAAACGGTCCACAGAGCCCATACCTGCTCCGTGTCTGCACTGTGACCTTGACCCACTTCCCTCCATGCTAGCTAGTCTTGGGCTTCCTGTCCCTTTCCCAGCCCAGACCTTTCATTTCCACACACACTCCCAGCCTCTTAGCAGAAAGCACAAATGAAACCAGTAGTCATGCTCAATCTCTAATAGACTAAACCTAAACGCCTCTATGACCGGCTGTTGCTACCCAAGGGTTTGTTGTCACCTTCTCCTGGGGGCTCCTGCTGCAACCCAGGTTCCACAGGATGGTCAAGCTGTCAGACATCCAAGTTTACATCGTTGTAATTATTACAAGTATTTACAATTTGCAAGGATTTTGGGTTATTTTTTTTGCTTTGTTTTTTGTACAAAAGAGTCTAACATTTTTTGCCAAACAGATATATATTTAATGAAAAGAAGAGATACATAAATGTGTGTACTTCCCAGTTTTTTTTTAATTATTTTAACCCCAAACATCTTCCTGAAAATAACATTCCCTTAAACATGCTGTGGAATAAAATTAACTGTGATGAGTTGGGGATCCGGCGTGTTGATTTGTAACCTAGCTTCTTGCTAGTCAGTCTTTAACATCATCTGGGACCTGGTTAAAAATGCAAAATCTGATAACCAACCCCAGGCTATTTGTGTGCATGTTAGTTTTTGGAAGCACTGGTCTAGAGATTCTCAGCTATTGTGAGGTCATTGTCAACTTTGAGCATCAATGAAGGATGTCACTTTTAGGAAGGCATCTTAACTAACTGAGAAAATCAGACTCCCTGTGTAAAAATATGATCTATTCACTTCATATTGCTGCCTCCAGACCATAATTTCTCCATTGCTTTTCTTCCTTGCCATTATATAACTTACAGAACTGGTCCAGTTAAGCATATCACAACCCTGAAGAAGCATAGTTAGCAAGAAAAAGAATGCGAACCCACGGACCTGAAATAAATTAAGCCTGAGCTAAATAAATTTGACAGTGAATTAATAAACTATGGGTCAGAGCACAGCAAAGGATTTTCCCTTAGGTAAGTTTCCTTGGAAGCATCATGTAGATCATAAATTCCAAGAGCTAGAAGGGATGGGGCCGAGCATGCAGACCTCTGTGTGGTGCCATCAAGCCACTGTGAACTCCCAGCACAGCTTTAGATGCATGCAGGTGACTGCTCTTTACTGCCATCAGAATGTGCAATTGCAGACTGACCTGGGTTGAGAGGACATGGTCCAGAGCATTCCATCAATTGCAGGAGAAAACCCTTTACAATCCATAGTTATTTCCAAGGGATCATTCTCTCCATCAGCGCATCCATATCTGAGTTGAAAATTCCTGGTCATTAAATTTGGATGTTTATGTGTGTCCTTCCTGTCAAGAGCATCTAGTGTTCTTCCCACGCTAAATGATAACTGTTAGACAAAAGATAGCAAACAGACTTATAGCATTTTTTATGTAAGGGTCACAGGTGCCCATCCTTGAAAAGGGGAATTTCCTGGACCAAGGTATCTAACTCTGGAGTTATAACATGGAACTGTGATCCTGGCTGGGAAGAATCAGTCTTCTTCTCTTCTGGCATTCCTACTTAGGTTCATTAAATAGAAATGAACAATTGCAAGACTTCTTTTCTTTCATTTCATTTTCTTTTTTAATCACACAATAACTAATATTTGAGATACAATGTGATGTTTTGATTCATGTATATATTTGGTAGTAATAAAATTGGGATAATTATCATATCCATCACCTCAAACTATTTTTATCATTTTTTTGTTGTTTGAGGCAGGGTCTCACTATGTAGCCCAGGCTGGCCTTTAGGATAGCCTAGGACTTGCAATTCCATGCCTCAGCCATCCAAGTGCTCAGATTACAGGCCTGCACCACCATGCCCAGCTAAGTTATCATTTCTTTGTGGTGAATACTTTCAACACCCTCTCCTAGCTCTTTTGAGATGTACAGTACATTGTTAATATATTCACCTTCCTATTCCATAGAACACTAGAAGTTATCCTTCTTACCAATAACAACATCACACCCACTGACCCACCTCTCCTATCCCCCTCCACTGTCCCCAGCCTCCAATAGCTCTCAACATTTGAGATCAGTTCTTTTAGATTCCACATGAGTGAAATCATGAAGCATTTCTCTTTCTGCACCTGGCTTATTTCACTTAGCATGATGTCCTCCAGTTCCATCCATGTGGACACAAAGGGCAGTATTTCATGCTTTTATGGCTGCATAATACTTAATCGTCCGTGTGTACCACATTGTCTCCATCTATTACTTTGTTGATGAGCATTTGGGTCGATTCCATATCCAACCATTGTAAGCACTGCTGCAATAAAGCATGACAGGACAGGTGTCTCCTCCACTTGCTGACTTCATTTCCTTTGTGTATATACCCAGGATCTTAAAGAGAGCATTTTCTTACCTCTCCATAGACTGGTAAGATCCTAAGGGTGTGCTGTCATTGCTCTATATTTGTTCATTCTGTGGCAAAGTGGTGCTGCTCATACTCAGCCACCTCATCTCTCCTGAGCTATCCAAGGCTTTATTCCCTATGCAATGAGCCCACCATCAGAAGCTGGATTCCTGTTTCCTACAGCTCTCTAAGCCTAAACAGTTTAGTCACAACAAAGGCAGAAGTGAAGCAGGAAGCTTAATTTTGTCATAAAGTCTAAGCTCTGTTCTCCAATTCACCTTTACCTGAAGTAAAACTGATCATTTAATTTGAATCTGCTGATATTTTAATTCCTATCTTACTCTTGCTCAAAACTCATAGGAGGAAGAATAATTATTTGGCCTTCTCAAACCCCTGTGACTACTTTTAAGAGCAGAGAAAGCTAATGGTTACTGCAACAAAAAAAAAAAGTGCCAGGATGAATGTTCCTTGAAGATTTACAAGTCTGTTCTAAGCCATCTTCCACTTATCAATAAATCATGTTCTGCCTACCTGCTATTATCATGGATGAAGCACTTGGTACCCCGTGACATGCATACTTTTATCTATTTTGTTTTAGTTATTAAAATATTTTACAGCTAACATAAACCTTTAACTTAAGGAAGAAGAAAAATATCCAATAATCAAAACATGCTCAGAGCTAGACATGAAGAATGAAACAAAAGAAAAATAGTAAAATCAGTGAGATGACAAGTAAGTCATTTAGTCAAATCTAACACCAAAACATTGCAGCCCAGTGTGGTGAGTGATATTATCTAAGTACCTTCCAGGTAAAGCAATAAAAAGGAGGTGATGACCAACACATTCAAAAATGGGATAAGGAGCCAGGCATGTTAGCTCACGTCTGTAATCCCAGCACTCTGGAGCCTGAGTCAGGAGGATCACAACTTCCAGGCAAGACCCTGTCTCAAAAAGAAAAAAATGAGGTAAGGGAAAATGAGAAGAGTTGAAAATCCACCTCAGTTTTGAAAGACACAGGAGATGAACTTTCCATGTAAAGTGAAGAGTTCACAGAACAGGTAAGCATGAAAAGTTGCAGCCACTCAGGAATCTGTGAGTCATTCAGTAACTGGTCTGTAGGGTGCACATGGGGAACAAAGGGCGATATTACTGCAGAGCAAGAAAAGCACAAAGCATGAAAACACTGGATGAAGTTGGCAAGGGACTTTTACTTGAGTGCAGAAGAGAGTGCATTATAAGCAGTGATGTCAAATTTGCCATTCAGAAATATCACAAAGCAGCCATGTGGGAGAAAAATTGGAGTGGGAGAAAATTGGAAGCAGAGACATTAGCAAAGAGATTATTGAAACAGTCCCAAGCAAGAACCATTTGGCCCTAGACTTTGGTATCAGCAATGGGAAAGAGGAGGAGGGTAAACTTATTAAAAAGGCAGAATAAGCTGGAAGCAAAGACCTAATTAAGCCAGGGCAAGGGAAAGGGAAGAACGCAGATAATTCCAGAGTTTCTGGAATGGGAGAGGAAGCTGATAACATGGCTGAGATGTACTTCCTATAGAAGAATGGAGAATTTTTAAACCTAATGAAATCACCATAAGAACAGGACTAAGGTAGAAAGGAGAAATATACAGGAGATGAACCAATTCTGGTTATTATACCTATATACATGCAAATGTCACAATAAAATAACCTGTATAGCTATCTTAAATAAACAGAAATGTCTTATTATTTTTTTTTTTTTACAAAAACTGGTCTTGTCTAGGGGTTGGTACCAGTGGGATGGGGGAGGATATAAGGAAATGGTGTAGGAGGATGAATATGGTGGAAATATTACGTACACATGTATGAAAATGGAAAAATGAGACTGTTGAAACTATTCCAGGAATTGGGGGAATGGGGATAAAGGAGAAGGACGGAGGGATGAATTCACCTATATTATTATGAGAACTTTTATAAATGTCACACAATGTATTTCTAGAACAATAATAAAACTATTATATTAAAAAAGGAGAGAAGGAACAGGAGATACTAGGAAAGGAAAATGAAATGAGATAATGAGATAGTATTTATTTGTTGAACTTCTTCAAACAGGAAAATAAGATTTGGGGTGTGTCAGTTAACCACTGTGAGCCTCTTACTTCATTTACAAAATAGAAGCCTCATTACTTGAGAGAGCTGTAAATGAGGTGACTGGAACCTGTCAGTGCTCAAAAATGAGTCCCCTCTCTTCCCCTTCCACCCTTCCATGGTGATCTGAGCATAGACTCTTTAGCACAGCTGAATTAAACGATGTGTTTCAACAATTTGGCCTGGTTTATGGGTAAGAGAAACAAGAAAGGAAAAATTAAGAAATTTAACATCCTTTGTGAATTAAAGGTTTGAAATAATGCAGTAACACCACAATTTAAAATAAATTCAGGAGGAAAGTATGTGTGGCATGATCCCATATGAAAATATAATTAGGTCCTAAATCTTTCTTTTAATGTAATTACATTTTTCTGAGAGTGACTACATGTAAAATAAACTCTTCAAGTGAAGGGATTTTTTAATTCAGAAAAATAATGGAACATAGTCCAATGTAAAAGGAAATAATTCTACAATTTTACAAAAAAAATGATATAAAGATAGTTGTCTTTCTCTTCAACAAAATTAAAGGTAAGAGCAGAATAGATTCTTCCTGGAAGTGAGGGGGGGTGGAGGAGGGAGAAATGGCCCAAACAATGTATGCACATATGAATAAACAAATTAAAAATAAATAAATAAAGATAGTTGTCTCCACTTGAACATTAAACCTAAATCTGGAATTCTGAAAGCCAATGTAAATAAGGAAGCAAATTGGAAGATATAACTCTATTGTCTTTAAAAAGTTTTACTCCCTCAAAAAAAGTCTTTTCCCAGGCACCAAATTTTGGAGAAGATCTGCTATTGAAGTCACTTAACTCCTTCTATAGATGTGTCTTAGCAGGTAATGTTTGGTATTCTATTCTATAGAATAAACTTCTTAGGTAAGAAGGGGCCATGAGTCCTGGTGTGAATGTAGGGACAAAGCAAAGGAATCAAGAGTCTGAAAGTATAGTCATCAAGAAAGGCTTGGCCACAGGTGCACAATGAAGAAATAGCATTTT